AAAGAGCATAGAATTCATAAAGAAATAATTAAAACACAATTTTATCAATTTTTTTTACCAATAACTAAATTTTATAGAGTTTATAAAAATTGTGTTTATTACTGAGACCACTGTTTTAAAGTTGTGACTTTTTTTGTAGAAAAATTCAAACCTGCACTTCCTTTGCCATTTCCTACAGCAACCAAACAGCTGATGGACCTCTTCCTGCCCTCTTTGGCAGTCATGTTGAATACACTCTTCACCTATAAAAAAAAAAAAACAGGCATGAAACAAAATGTATAATGTAGGATAAAAATATACCTCTAATTTATGAGAAATTGTGCTGAGTCATCGAAAAAAATACAATAAGTTGAATTTAATGCCAAAAACATATTTCTAAAACATTAGTGACAAATGCACTATGTTATATTACCTTTTTAAAAAATTATTTAACCTTTTGTTTTATTTAAACTTGACATTCAAATAAATTTATTCAGGTTGTTAATAGTTAAATGTGTTTCTTTTCTTTTATGAATCACTTGTTTAAATGTTGAGATCACCCCTATCTCTAGTCTATGGTCAACTGATCAATAAAATATACTTAAATTTAAAAACTTTCAATAAACATCAAATAATAGAAATGAAGGTTTTGTCCAAATGTCAATTTTTTGTTTTTGTTTTGGCAATTCAACACGTTTAATTCTGATCAATAATGTCTGATTCCTAACTAACAATTGTGCTATGAGGGTGTTAGTTGTTAATCTACACCTTAATTGTTCAATTATGAGATTGTTGACAAAGCAAACAGTAATTTCTCTCACACTCTCTCAACACACACTCCCTCATCCCTTGTGTAACTGCAATAATCGATCAACTTCCTGCAGTTTGAAACCTAAACACCAGGGGGCAGCATGGATGCACCAGAGAGATCTAAGAGGAGCAAGAGAGAGAGAGAATGTAAAAACAACAGATGATGAGTAAAAAAAAACCCAAAATGAAGGAAGTAACGGAGAAAAAGGGATGTAGAGACAGAAAAGGAAAAGACAGGTGAGCTGGAGGAAAAATGGTTACAGGAGACAGAAAAAAACTAAAGCAAAACGTTGAGGGATATAAATTAAAAAAGCTTATAATGCCTCTTTGCACATGAAACAGCTCAGAGGAGAGGTGCTAATCCGATTAAGTGGACAAACATGATGTAGCAAGGAAAGAGAGGCAACAACATAACAAGGAAGAACAGAGGAAGCAAAAAAATAAATAAAAAAAACAAGAGCAAGTGGAGGTTATGGTGCCACTGTACATGCGTGCCTGGAAGGTGCTGATGACTTCAAAGGAATGAATTGAACATGCAATTATGGTGGTGGTGGTG